AAAAAAAAAAAAAAAGAAAGAAAAGAAAAGTTTTTCTTTAAATCAGCCTTAAGTTGATCTTCCATTATTTTTCCCATAGCCACCTCCTAAGCAGTGATATCTGTGAAATCTCAAATAGTCCTATTTTTTCAACTATACAACTCTTACACATATTTCCCTGAATCCTGGATACTATCTAAAATTGTGGCAAGTCCATTAACATTCTCATACCCTGCTTGGAGGAACTCTGTTGAAATGCAGTCTACTACAAAGAAATGAGAGCAGCCTCCTTTTCCGAATCTTCCCATCCGTAATAGAATTAAAAAATGGGGAAAGGGAGGGACAGAGGCATTGCATGTTCCAAGACGTATAAAAAAGGTTGAGAGACACTTAGCTGATGTGTTTTGAGATGCTGATCTTTCTGTGCTTGCCGTGAGGGACAGAGATAGACAGACAGACAGATAGATGATAGATAGATAGATGATAGATAACTGTCACCAGATTTTTCTCTCTAATCCTCCTCCTTCTGGCTTGGCAGATCTTCCCTGGGGCCGAGGGATGGCCGCTGCCCAAGTACCTGGGCTCCTGTGGCAGATTCGTCGTCAGCACCAGCACCAGACCGCTGCAGGAATTCTACGATGCACCCCCAGATCAGGCGGCTGACCTTGCCTACCAGCTCCTGGGTGTCCTGGAGTCTCTGAGGAGCAACGATTTGAACTATTTCTTCTACTTCACCCATATTGATGCAGGCATGTTCGGCGTCTTTAACAACGGGCATCTGTTCATCCGAGATGCCAGTGCAGTGGGCGTCATCGACAAGCAGGAAGGTACTCAGCATGAGCCTGGCCGAGCAGCTGTCAGAGGGGAACTCAGGGTGACTGGAGCTAGGGAGGGGTGGCTAGGGGTCACACTATTGGGCCTTTCCCATCTCTGCGTGTTACAGTGAGACCCACTCAAGTTTGGAGAATGTTAGATTTCATGTAAAATGTCCCACACTCCTATTTGAATTTCTGCCTTGCCCCTCCTCGTGCATGCGCTCGCTCTCTCTCTCTCTCTCTCTCTCTCACACACACACACACACACACATACACACACACACACACACAACCTTTGGGTCCATCTCCCGCTCAGAGTCTTTCTCATCAGATGCCTTTACCCTTTATCTGAAACTTAAGTATCAGGCTGATTTACTGGTACATTTTGCAATCTATTTTGGCACAATTGCTCTTTATAAAGTTTTCAAAGTGAAAAAGCATGGAACCAAACGAGGTGGGTGACTGAACTGTGTTTCTCACTATGTGTAGAGGTTCATTCAGGGTTCTAGAACCCTTCAAATACCCTAATCTCTAATGCTGACCAAATTTTCTGAGCCCAATAAGAGGACAAAGGGTTTTATTTTCTAATTTCTGATTTTGTTTGTATGCCAAAGCCTACAAAAATAGACAAATTAAACCACACTTATTTATTTCCTGATTTGCCTTTAAGGAGAATCAAATTAGAAGAAATGAGGCTGATTCCAGAATATTCTGGATATATAAATCATGAAACGTCAGACACAGTACAACTCATTGAATACATATTTGGGATTACTTGTTTTTTCTCCTGTGTATATTATTTTGGTTTTGTTTTATTTTATTATTTTTTTAGACAGAGTCCCACTCTGTTGGCCAGGCTGCAGTGCAGTAGTGCAATCTCGGCTCACTGCAATCTCTGCCTCCTGGGTTCAAACGATTCTCCTGCCTCAGCCTCCCAATTAGCTGGGATTACAAGTGTGTGCCACCACACCTGGCTAATTTTTGTATTTTTAGTAGAGACCGAGTTTCACCATGTTGGCCATGCTGGTCTCAAACTCCTGACCTCAGGTGATCCACCCGCCTCAGGCCCCTGAAGTGCTGGAATTACAGGCATGAGCCACGGGGCCTGGCCCTAACTTTGCATTTTAAAGGCGCAAATGAAACCAGTCTCAGTAATTAGATTCTGAGTTCCCTAATTTAGTAATAATGAGAGTCTAACAATATGGGTGTGATCTCTGCAATTATCAGCCTAACTTCTGGTGAGGTAAGTGGTTTTTCCATGCCCAGACCTCGCCTTATTGTAGCAGAGGATTCCTCCATGTGGTTCTCAAAAGGAACCACTGTGTCTCTGAGTCCTAAATCTCCTGGTGACAGGGAAATGCTAGGAGACTATACTATGTCACCCAGCAATTCTTTTTTTTTTTTTTTTTGAGATGGAGTCTTGTCTCTGCCCAGGCTGGAGTACAGTGGCGCGATCTCAGCTCACTGCAACCTCCACCTCCCAGGTTCGAGCGATTCTCCTGCATCAGCCTCTCAAGTAGCTCAGATTACAGGTGTGAGCCACTGTGCCCGGCCTCACCCATTAATTCTAATTAGTGGTGCCCTTCCTGAATGAGCACAGGTGTCAGGGTGTGTAATATTTCCCATTTGTCTTCTAGGCAGCCAAGAAGCCACCGGGGCCGGAGAGAATAAAGACATTTTTAGCTGCTTGGTTTCTGGCTGTCAGGCCCAGCTGCCCTCCTGCGACAGCATCTCTGAGAAGCAGAGCCTGGTGCTGGTGTGTCAGAAGTTGCTGCCTCGACTTCTCCAGGGGAGGTTCCCCTCCCCCATGCAAGATGACATAGACTCCACTCTTGCTCAGTGTGGGGACGCCACCCGCCCAGACCCAGAAGCCCTTGGGGCCGCCAGCCAGCTGAAAGACATCTTGAGGCCCCTGAGAACCTGTGACTCCAGATTTGCCTACCGTTACCCAGACTGCAAATATAACGATAAGTTCTGAAAGGCTGGTGTCTAACTAGCCTCGGGGATGACACGCTGGGCTCTCCATTCCCCCAGTTGGATTGCTGCAAGGTTGAAAGAAGCCGCTGTTTTTAAAATATGAGGACGAAGGCACATGCATTTCTCAGGGACTGAGAGGGAAGTTGTGAGATACTATGTGTCTGTCTCTGCTGGCTGGTACGTCCTGGCAAAGCCCAGGGCTCGGGGGGGGGGCATCAGAAGACCTGGATATGGACGCTCACTCAGTGTCTTTGAGCATCAGTTTCCTCTCTTCTCCACCAGACTCTCAGGAGAGTGAAAGAAGATGGAGATGGAGCCACCATTGAACGTATGTCCCAAGCATGGGGCTTGGGACGCGTGCTCACCACCTCCATCCCAGTGGTTACGAAGTGTGTTCTGGAAAAGCACAGAGGCAGGGAGCATGGGGAAGAGCCACGCAGGTCAGGAGGCTGGAGTGGAGGGAAGGCGGGGGAGGACAGGCTTCCCACTGCTACCACTTTAGACTCAGACAAGAGGGGCCCCGTTCTTGCTCCCTATGGCCCTGCCACACTCCCAACGCCATTGCAGGATGAGGAGACTGCGGGCCAAGGGGACACGCCTGCCACTGCCTAAAGCCTGGTACCTGGGGCTTCATCCACCTGCGCATGGGGCTTCTCCGGGTGTGGGAAGAAGCCAGGGGTAAGAAGAGAAAGGGGAGCCAGCGGGGGGCCAATGTGTTAGCCCAAGTCCTCCAAGAGAGGTCAAGACAGAGTGAACGGGACAGAGATGTATTAGGGGAAATGCTCGTGTGAAAGGAAAGGAGGGAGCCAGAGAAGATTGAGAGGACCATGAAGTCGAGCTGCAAGCTGAGCCCCAGCAAAGGAGAGAAGGTCTGGCAGAAGCTTGCTAAGCTCAAAATCGAAGAAAGATCCAGCAAGGCGCTCAAGGGGTGTCCTCAAGGCAAAGGCCATCAGAGGATCCCCATGTCTCCCACAGATAGACCCCCGTAGCATCCCTGTTGCACGCAGTGGTTGGTGGATACAGCCTGTGGGAAGCGTGGCCTCTGCCCCACCACAAAGACAGATTTCAGAGCAGAGCAGTGGGGGCCCCTGGCCAGCCCTGCTTCCTAGCGCAGGAGATCTTGAGTGAAAGAACATTCTTCTTGTAGCCACAGCTGAGGCCCTGAACCAGCTCCCTCCATACCACATGCTTCAAGTTGGGACTCCGAGTCTGGGAATTTTCATTCAATTTTGGCCTTACAGGTCACTCACCAGAAATAGATTTTTTTCAAGGTCAACCAATAGAACATACTTTTATTCAACAGTTCGTTAGTTTGCTTTTTAAATATTTAGCCACATGGTATGTTGGCTTCCATGTACACTCTTGCCTTGGCCCCTGAAACATAAGCAGGGGCTCTTCTGCACCTTTGCCCAGCCTCCCTGCCATCCTTTAACCCCAGGAACCTCTCAGTCTACCTCCTCTTGTCTACCTCTGAATCCCCACCTTTAAAGTCAGAACAGGCCAGGCACGGTGGCTCACACCTGTAATCCCAGCACTTTGGGAGGCCTAGGTGGGCGGATCACTTGATGTCAGGGGTTCGAGACCAGCCTGGCCAACGTGGTGAAACCCCATCTCTACTAAAAATACAAAACTTAGCCACGTATGGTGGCATGCACCTGTAGTCCCAGCTACTTGGGAGGCTGAGGCAGGAGAATCGCTTGAACCTGGGAGGCGAAGGTTGCAGTGAGCCGAGATCATCCCACTGCACTCCAGCCTGGACAACAGAGTGAGACTCAGTCTCAAAGTAAATAAATAAATAGATAAAAATAAAGTAGAACACCTGGCTTAACAGGCCTCACTATCCAGATGAGGAAACTGAGGCCCAGAAAGGAAGAGTGATCTGCAGGGATATTTCCAGAACCCCTGCTATTAGGAGGCTTCTGTTACCCTCACCTTCAGCCTCTGACTCTCACCTGTGTTACCCAATTCTGATCCCTTCACTCCCACTCAAAAATGGACCCCAGAAAAGCCTTACTTTGTGGTGTACCTGGTTGCCTTTTGGGTTTTCTCTTGACTGCTACAGGCACTGCCCCAGGGCGACCACGACTGGGAAGATGCCTAGCCAAGCTTGTGGACTGGCCAGCAAGCCCGGGCTGCCTGAGACGCTTTGAAATGGCTGCCTTCTGGCTTGACCACCCTTCCCACCTGCACAGTCACAGTCCCTCTCCTGCTGGCCTGACTGCAGCTGGCCACCTGACCACAGAGCAGGAGAGGCCACAGCCTCCAGACCCTCCAGAGTCCCCTGGAGGAAGAAGGCTTACCAGAGAGACTCTCTGATGCCTGAGCCAGGTCCCAGCGCTTCTCCCTACGTCCGGGTGTGTTTCCACCGCAAAATGCCGCCACACAATGAGTGACTTTGGCCCTGTATGGGCCAGCGTGTAGTGTGAGGTAACCCTCAACTACCTCCACCACACGTCTGTCCACCTGCACGGATTTGGGGTGAGCACTGGCCCTGCCCGCTTCTCTCCTCCAGACCAGTTGCCTGAGACGCTGAGCAATGTTCCTTCTAAACCATCCTGAAGCCGCTGGCGATGCTGGGTCCAGGCAGGAAAGGCAGACTTGGCAGCCACCTCTAGCAGCAGAAAGAGACCTTGCGCCCCACTCGTCCGAGTCCCAGGATGGAACCAATAAGAAAACCAGCGAGCTCTCTTCTAGGGAGCTGTTGGGAGATTTGTTTTTAGTATCAATTACAATAATATTCTGTGTATGTGTATAACTGTGTTCACATCCACAGTGTAAGCTGTGATATAGTTTGGATGTTTGTCCCCTCCAAATCTCATGTTGAACTGTGATCCCCAACATTGGAGGTGGGACCTGGTGGGAGGTGACTGGATAATGGGAGCAGTTGCCTCCTGAATGGTTCGTGCCCTCCCCGAGGTGATGAGTGAGTGCTCTCTGAGCTCATTTAAGATCTGGTTGTTTAAAAGTGTGGCACCTCCCTCCCGCACCTCTCTCTCACTCCCGCTCTCACCATGTGACACGCCGGCTCCCCCTTTGCCTTCCACCATGGTTAGAAGCTTCCTGAGGCCCTTGCCAGAAGCAGATGCCAGCCCCACACGTCCTGTACTGCCTGCAGAACCAGAAGCCAAAATAAAGCTCTTTTCTCTCAACTACCCAGCCTCTGGTATCTTTACTGTCGTACCGAAATGGCCTACTACAAGCTGCGTGCGAAGGAAAGCAGGGCGGATGTTAGGCAGGGCCTCCATATGCTTAGGAGTGGCTTCGAAATAGTTCCCCAGCTAGTGGCCTTTCCTAGCTTCAGCAGGTCACAGAGTCCCTTTTGTCATACACCTTCACCACAGAGCAGATGCTCTTGCCAACATGCCTGAAGACCACAGGCCTCAGTCGGCTGCCTTCCTACTGCTACTACTACTACTTTCCTACTGTTACCATTTCCCTACTACTACTATTTCCTATTACTCCTACAACTTTCGTACTACTACTACTTTCCTACTAATACTACTACTCCCTATTACTACTACTACTACTGCTTCCTATTACTATTACTTTCCTACTACCACTAATTCCTATTACTACTACTACTTTCCTACTACTACTTCCTATTACTACTACTATTTTCTGCTACTACTACTTCCTATTACCACTACTACTGTTTTGCTACAACTACTTTCTACTACTACTACTACTTCCTATTACTACCATTACTACTTCCTACTACTATTTTCCTACTACTACTTCTACTTTCCTCCTCCTACTACTACTATATATTACTACTACTACTTCCTATAACTACTACTTTCCTACTACTACTACCTATTACTGCAATTACTACTTCCTACTACTACTTTCCTACTATTATTTTCCTACTGCTACTACTACTTTCCTACTACTACTTCCTATTACTACTTCTACTACTTCCTACTACTGCTACGTTCCTACTACTACTACTTCTTCCTACTACTACTTTCTACTACTGCTACTACTACTTTCCTACTAATACTGCTACTTCTTCCTACTACTACCACTACTACTACGATTACTTCCTATTACTGCCACCTGCTAACCCTCCCCCACACACCCTGTGGTGGACACAGAGATGAGCCACCCAGCTCTCCCTTCAAGAAACAATGCTCTTCCCAGCATGGGAGCATGGTTGGCATGCAGTAGTAAGCCATCAGCCCCTTCAGGCTCTGCCTCACCACACAGAGTGGTTTCACTTGAGGTCACACCCTTCCTAGGGCTATCTATACCCAGTGACTAGGCATGGAGAAGTGTGAGGGCCCAGCCATTTTGGCCCATTGAGCAACAACTCTAACAGGCAGTTCTGCTTCCAGAACTCCCACCAAGCTGATCAAGACTGTTGAGCCTGCCTCACAGTTTGACATTTCTCTTTTTTTTTTTTTTTT